AAAACTCAAACTCAAATAATAGAATGCATTAATGTTGGGAAGAAACTCCAGTTTACAAATATCATCATTAAGCCTGAAACACCAAAACCTGGAATTTAAATCGCCAGGCTCATCTATACTGTAACCAATCAAACTCCATAAATATTCATTGTATACAACTAATCTATAATCCACACTGCATCTAAACATTCTATTAGAAATTTTAGAAAATAAAAAACAATTTCCAGTTGAAAGATTTACAACCAATTCGATATTCTACGGAAAAGGTAATACCCTCTGATCTCATCAGTGTTATATTCAAAGAGTAGTGACTCTCACGATTTTTATAAAAGCCAATTCACACCTTCAGGGATAAACAACAACAACAAGAACAGGTTGGTGAAAGCAATGATGGAGGTTCAAAATGAAAATCAAGACAACTACCTGAGGCAATGAATCTCATCATTGGCCACACATGTCAAAGCAGTTGAAATTATTAAAAAACAATTGACTAGCTAAACTTAATAGCACAAAAAATTAAATAATCAAGGATTAGCAAAAAACAAGCACAAAGCACAAGCTAATACAAAGAGAAACAGAACATTGACAAGCCTTGCTCACAGACAACTAAAAGTTTCATGCTTTACACAGCAGCGATTGAAGAAGAGGAAGATGCTCACATTGATGGAACAAGCATAAAAAGTGCATCCAGAAAAGCAAAATAAAGTTGATTTGTCACCAAGCAATTACATTAAGCATTAAAAAAAGATATCAACTACTAGTAGTCCCAACTCCCAATGGCCATGCTACTGGCGTTCAGCAGTATTGATATTTCTAACTGTAGTCAGCGTAGAACAAAACCAAAAACCCAAAGATTTTCATGGTAGGGAACTGCTAATTACTCAATGACATGAAATTCATATGCCAACGAAACAAAAGCAGCATGATAAAGACAAACATTAAAAATCATAAAACCAGCCTTCAGATCTCCTAGCTATAAATGGTCATTCGAAGTTTTAACTTTTAACCCACTGATTTTCGTCAAGAGCCTTCGCCACATCAGTAGCCGTATTCATACGAAGAAAGAGAGAGAGAGAAAGCAGTTCTTCATGTACACCAAAAAGAAGAAAAAGAAACAGAACGAAAGATGCTGTTGATGCCATTGCTGGTGGCAATTGCCCAAAGCGCAAATTAGAGATAACTGCTTCAGTTCAATGAGTTTTCAATCATTGGGCCAAACACCAAAACAGAAAACAAAAAAAGAGTAGTATTCTGCAGAAATGTTACAGTTTTTGAAACATTTGAATTGAAGCTGCAACATCAAAACTTGAAATTCATAGCAGAAAGGCTCTTCCATACAGTAATCAATCAACAGCAAAGAAGAATAAAAAGAATTGACAAAAAAAGAGCTCACCTCATGCATCCCCTCTACGGTTGGACAAAGAGCATCGAACCTGAGAGAATGAACAATAAAAATTGGGTTTCTCTCTTCACCGAAAATAATTAAAAAAATGAAGAAAAAGTGGGCTTAAAAACAAGATGTGATACTGGTAGGAGGTGCAGGGGGATGGGCGCGAGAAAGTACAACTGTACAAGCATTTAAGCGGAGGAGAGAATTAGAAAGAGCCCAAATGAAAAATGGGCTCCTAGTTGGTAATGGAATGCTGAAGTTGCAATCAACTGGACCAGACCAATTATTCAATTGAATTGAACTTAATTTAAATAAAACAATTCGATTCAATTAGTTCATTAAATTCATTGATCTAAAAAATTTGATCTAATTAATTTATTTAGTTACTTCTTAATTTTAAAATTTTTAAATCAAATCGATTAAAATATCAAATTAATATAAATAATTATATTTTTTTATATGTTTTAATTGTTATGTAATCTATATAAGTAAACGTGATAAATCAAGTCATGAAAGATATTCAAGTTAATGATCTGTTATGATTGACTATCTTGTGTTAGATGATTTTATTTTGTAAATGTTAATTTTATTATCTTTGTTATGTTAAATTTTAAATGTTAATTTGATAATTTATGTAAAAAGACATAATAATGTGAGGTACAAAACTTTTTTATGTTTAAATTATTTGTATGTTTATAACTATAGATGAAATTTATAAATTTTCATATTATAATTTGTTAAAAATAAAATAAAATTTTAATCATTTCCATCCAAAATCTAACCAATTTGATATTTGATCAATTTTATATCTCCTTTATGTTTAATCTATTTTAATCAATTTTTTAAAAATATTTAATCCATTTAATCTTTAATTCTGGTAGATCCAACCAACTGAACCACTCAATTACTCACTCTTGCTAAATATAATTAAATTTATAACAAAGGATCTCAATTGTGATGATATTCTAATATTCTTTAATGCATCTTTGAAGGCTGGAATTCTCAAGAGGGGTGAGGAAAATTTTGAATGCGAAAAATCATCCAACCAACTTGATTTCAATCAATTTGATTCAATTACAGTGATTAGCAATTATTTTGAATTTTTTTTATTCATTATAATAGAATCAAGCAATAATTAAATATAAAATAAAATATTTTAAAATTATTATATACATATACGAACTAATTTTTATAATATTCTATACTGCTAGTTGGGTTGAAATTTATAGTTATATATTAGTTTGAAACATGATTTCAACATATATTACTTTTAGTTAGTATGAATTTGATTTCAAATTTCATAATCCGAATAAACCGATCAAAATAATTTGATTTTGATTGATTCGATCATCTTTAAATATTCAATTCGATGTCACAGTAACACATATCGTACATTATTTTCCACATTTTAACTCTTAGCACTAAAATTGATTATAAAAATTATGAATGCAAATTGCATTTCTTGAATGGTTGCAATTGCTAAACCCAAACATGGTCCACTGAGGAAAATAATAGTAAAGATGGTAGAAGGAATTTTTATTTATTTATTTATTATTACTGTACCTTAAAATTAATAACTATAGTAAACAGTAAGTGCTCGGAGAAATGTAATCAAACAACCGCCACTTCCTTAACAATCAGCAATAAGACTCCATAACATTACTCTTAATTACCACTAATCCCACACAATACGTAGCCTCTCAAGGCTCGGGCCTTGACGTACATATAGCTAACAAAGGATTCAAGGTCAAGTCTATCCTTTAGAGCATTATTTTCA